GAGTAGTCCACTTGCAAACAGCGTTATGTGATTTTATAATAGTAAGCCATAAATTAAAAAAAACGTCTACAACAACAAGTAACATCCAAATTGTATATTTCTTTTTATTATCTGAAAATTTGGATAAATAAGAGCCTAATAACATTAAAAATCAAAATCTCAATATGGTAGTTTTTGCAAATTTTATATATAGAAATTAAATATAGCGAGTTTTGAAAGAGTAAGTTTTATATAGCCAGCTTTTTTAAGCTTTTCGCGTTCTCTCTTCCATGAAGGTTGGTCTGCTTCTTTTTTAAGACGTCTTCCACTACGCACCGAAACTACCACGTTTTTTTGCAGTTTCTAAGTTCATCAGAAGATGGAGACTTTTGAACTTGTATAAATACGTACAATAAGGGCCGTTTGCACCATGTCTAGAATTAAGTCGTTATGCAACTTGATGCTAGTGTCCTAGGAATCTGTTAAGCTTCCGTAACGGCCAACGCACAGATAATCTTAAAGTCTTGTTACCGTAAATGGTATGCGTGCATGAATGCAGTAATGGTCTAACTCCCAGTTAAACATCTTTATCGACGTTATCGACACCCATCATATAACATGTGATCGATAAAGCAGTTAACGTGCTTAACTGAAGGATGTACCTCCAGTTATAGCTGAAATACAATGCCGGCGAACGGCGAACTCACCACAGCGAAATTCGCGCTTTCAAAATTAGAACACCCGCAAGCATATGAAATTGAACACAGCCAAAGCGAAATGCGAAGTTCGCTTGGCGGCGCGGCGTTTCATGGCGATAGATTTATTTCTATCGCCCTGCTGGGCGATGACAGCTGTGCGTGCCAAAGGTGGCCGTATTTGTTTTTTGCTTTCAAAGTTTTAAAAGAAAACAACCTGAACACGATTTTTTTTTGTTGTTTGAAAAATATAGTTGTGGGTTCGTTAAATCTGGCTTGAAACAAATTATTTATAATAATCTTTCTTTGTTTTACAATTTATATTTATTATCATTTCCTCATTTCTAAATATGGTTTAGTTTTTTCTAAATATGGTCCCCCAAATTATAAAGGCGACCAAATGGGATCAGCTGTTTTCGCTACCGCTCTAATTCTGTTTAAGTAGGCGAAATAGCTGGGCGAACGGTGAACGACAGCATCGCCCAGATCGGCGAAGTTTGCCGTTCGCCGGTATTGTATTTCAAGCATTAGCGTTAAATAGACATGGTGCAAACGGCCCTAAGTATTATAGCGACTTTTGAAAGTGTATAGATACATACCATACATTTGACAAACCAAGCGAAATTTCCCTTTGTTTCAAGCCATTTGTGCTGTGTATGGGGGTGCTTGAAGGTTTGACAAGCCGCTTGAGGGAAATTTGAGCAAAAAATCAAAATTTTTTGATTTTCTGGCCGCCATGTTGATGTTTGATCAAACCGCTTGCGTTGTGTATAGCAAAATCGCCTCATTCGCAATGAAATTTTCACCGAGTAAGGACGTAAGAGAGGAAAATGAAAGAAAACCATAATATTTAGCATTGCGAACTGGAAGAAAACTAAAATTCTTTGCTTGAACGAGTCAATTGATAAAATAAATTGAATATTGCAATATGGGTATCAAACTGAAGAGGTTTTGGAAAGTTTACTTAGTTTTTACACCAGACAATATTGTCAAGACAATTATGTCAAAATGATGTGTTTGTTGGAAACACGGCGAATTCATATTACAACAAACACATAATTTTGACATAATTGTCTTGACAATATTGTCCGGTGTAACCTAGGGTTTACTGCTGAAATTATTTTTGAGGAGGGCCACCTGCCTGAACAATTTCATTAAATTAAATTGATAAAATAAATGAAATATTAAAAAACGACTATCAAACAGCACAAAAATACGTTTAAGGCCTTCACTGCTTCACGTCCGGTATTTGCTAGTTTTAAAATAAAAATACATCAACAACACGTTTTTGCTTAGCGGCGTTCAATGTATGTAGTTTACCTTTTGTCTTTGACGTTTCTCCACTATTTACCAAAAGTAAGCGATAATTCACGGTTGCAGATGGAGAAGTTATCTTTTTAATATAGGATTATTTTATAACTTGGTTGTTGAGGAGAAATTTTGTACTCTTAATTACGTATTGGATAGTTCACCTCCAAAAAGCAGAAAATCTGTTCATAAGTATGTCGCTAAACAAAAATTTACCGATATATGAAAAGCGGCCTCAGTCCGATTTCAATAATTTTCAACGTTTTGCTTTTATGTGGCAAGCACAATAACCATACCGAGTTTGGTACAAATTGGTAGAACGGTTACCGAGATACATATATGTGATGTGTTTTCCGAATTTTTATCATAAACGTATTTCCTGGTAAAGAATTGTTGCAAGCATCAATTTTGAATAAATTAGCTTTAATATTTCCTGATTTATCGAAGATTTCGTATTTCTCCAAATTACCGTTATATGGGATGTGGGCGTGGTTATTGTCCGATTTTAAAAATTTTCGGCTATTTGGTATGCTGTACCCAGGCCAACAACTGTGCTAAGTTTGGATGAAATTGGTGCAGCGGTTACCAAGATACACACATGTAACCATAAGTGGGCGTGGTTACGCCAATTTTCCAAAAATTGATAATATTCTGATTTTTCGTCTAAAAATGATTGTAAATATCTATTTTGAANACCATAAGTGGGCGTGGTTACGCCCATTTTCCAAAAATTGATAATATTCTGATTTTTCGTCTAAAAATGATTGTAAATATCTATTTTGAATGAATTATCTTCAGTAGTTACTAAAATATCGCAGTTTTCGTATTTCTTAAAATTACCGTTATATGGGAGGTAGGCGTGGTTATTGTCCGATTTTGCCCATTTTCAATACCATCCGTCCTACACCCGAGAGAAGTGCACGTACAAAGTTTCGTTAAGATATCTCAATTTTTACTCGAGTTAAGGGACACTCAAACAGACGCGGTATTGGAAGTGCGGTACAAGGCGGTACATAACTATACTATACTGAGTGTCCCTTTATGGTGTGCACAGACGGACGGACAGACAGTCACCGCTTAATCGATTTCTCTTTTCATTCTGATCATTTATGTATGCATTTGTCTATATCTATCTCGATTCGTTTTGCCTGTTACAAACAACCGTTATGTGAACAAAGTTATAATACCCTTGTGCACAAGTGCGCTCGGGTATAAAAATGAATGCATATACATATATGTACGTGTGTGTGTGTCTTTTATAGGCGTCCAAAGTACTAAACCGATGTTTATGAAGTTTTTACAGCAGATTAATGTGATCCCTGGGGGAAACTCTATTAATATTATTATTTTTAAAGATAAAGTACACGCCTCTAGCAGAGAGAACATTTTTATTCGTCATATCTCCCCAACTTGTTGATGCAGATTAATGATACTTGGGCAAGAATGATAGAATACAAGATTGCGCCAATCGAAAAAAATTTTTCCTTTTCTTCCACACTTGCCAACTCCATTCTCGNTTGGGCAAGAATGATAGAATACAAGATTGCGCCAATCGAAAAAAATTTTTGCCAACTTTTCTTCCACACTTGCCAACTCCATTCTCACCTCCGACAAGCTCTTACGCAAGGACTCCACTTCCCAGTCATGCCTTTCCTGCTGCAAATGCGCTTCTCGCTTTAAAGCCGCAATCTCGCTTTGTTGCCTGCTGTGTTCGCTTTTGAGAAAAGCGTTTTCGCGTAATGAAGCTCGTCTACATAAATACGTATAAACAAAAAAAAATTTAATATGGTTTGTATAGATATATATATATGTATGTATGTAGATTTAATTAAACTTTGAACTTACAATTTTTCTTGCAGATCTTCAACCTCCTTAAGCGTGCTGTCATAGTAAAACGCCTTGCTAGGTGTGGCACGATGTGGGGAACACAGAGGCGTCAACGCATCTGGCAATATGCCACAGTTCTCCTCGTCAGCGCGGTTATGGCCCATAATACCTTCGGCTTCTGAAATGTACTTTTTTATAACTAGGAGAACTTCAACTATATAAACTTGTAATGCCTTTGGAAGTGGACTGCTCCAGTAGATCGCTCACAATGGTTTTGTACACTTGCTGCTGGGCTTCCTTGTCAGGATCTAGTATTTCCGCAGCAGGCTTGAAAATTGTCGGCACAACGCCCCGCTTTAGTTTACGCTTTTTAGCGTAGCCTAACACAATTTAAAACATTTCTTTTAATAAAAAGCAGTATTAATGAAAAGTGAAAAATATAAGCTTCCGGGGGGTTTCATATTTACGATGAGGGCGGCTACCTTTCGTGAAATTTACTCCTGAGTCACACCATCCTCACGAAATCCAATAAGCGCTTATTGGCGAATTAAATAGTATAACTTACCCATTTTATATTGAAGCTCGTTCTCGAAGTCATCAGTGGTGAAGTGTTTTACACAGATGACGCTGGTTCGGGCGTTGAAAATCGTCCACCAACTCAATGTCGGCCGGAAAAGTAAAAAAAGCGCACCCAGATCCTTTAGCACTTACACTAGCACAATTAACCACTGCACTCATTTTTTTCTTTAATTTATAACTTTTTTTTATCAGTTTTCACAAAAAACAAAACAACGCTCAAAGTCTTCCGAATTTGTAAATTTGTAAAGTTGAAATAACCTAAAACGTCACGAACCAGAAAATGTAAACAAAAGTATTGTGTGACGTCAGCGAATGGGTGGATGCTGTCAAATCGACGAAGAGAGTGTTAGCGGTCCGCGAATGGCGCGACCTTTATTTTCTGGATCGTGCGTGCATATGTGGTTTGTTGATGCTCTCTAAACACAAACGCGTGAAAGGCAAACGGTCTAGCGAAAGTTGGTGTCCTTGACGCGGGGCTAGATCTTAAGTGGTGACATGGTTGCCCTAAGTTGTTTCCATGTCGGCATGAACTAACAGGGATGCTTTGCATGGGAACCTGTTTAGGACATATGCTTACGCAGTTTCCGATGTGAAGATTACCGTACCAACTAGCCCAGGGGGGTTTCGCATTGCGAGGCTACGGGTGTCACAATCCCGGGTACCCCAGTTAAAGGCTACCAATCCTGAGTCGGGCATGAGGCTCAATTGGTAGAAGAGCTGCTGCTTTCGAAGTCATACCTAAGACTTTAAAAAGGTACCACGGGGAGTAGGGGCCCCCATAGTATCCTATATTTACTATGGCCTACTCTTTGGTTGCGGCCCTTCGGGGAGTAACGTGGTGGTTGTGGTTTAATACCAAAATGCTGGAGAACTCAAGAGTTCGATGTGGAGTTGCATTGCAACCGGGTGCCATGACCCAAAGATTGGCAGCGGCTTTAGGTAAGCTTCGGCTTCACCAAGGCGGTAAGTGTGTCACCCCACACTGCCATTGGAACTGAGATGCTTGCATTTCAGGGCAATGATTAAGGCAAAAATTTATCCGTTGAGTTTTGGACTCCGTGGAGCTAAAACTGCATTAAATTGCAGTAGGTTCCCACGTTAAACCAAAACTACATCTAGCAATGCGTGGTATTGCTGATCAACTTAATACTTTATTTAAATATAAGGGTTGCTCACAGTTCGAGTGTGTTATCTTGTAAAAGTTGCCACCTTTTAACTTTAGAAGTAAACTGTGAATACCCTAATTTATTTATGTACAAGTCTACAAAATCTTATTACTTTTAAAGCGATTTTTAATCTTCGTTGCTTAAGACACATTGTTACAATTTCTTCTTGTGTTGGAATCGGCACATCGTTAACCCTCTAGTAGGCCAATTTTTTTATGAGTTGAAACATTCAGGAATGGGTGAATTTAGCACGAGAAATCCAAAAATGATGTCCATTTCGATCTGTGACAGTAACTTTTTCCTACAGGGGGGAAAACCAAGACCGTCTGGAGACGGGCTCGCCGATATACTTACACATATTTTCAGCTTTCTCTTACACAATGTAGACCTACGAACCGGCAATCCCGTCTGCAGACGGACAAAAATGCAAACTGGGTTTTTATATGTCGGCAAGCCGGTCTGTAGACGGTCTGTGTTCGAAAGCAATTTTCTCCATTTCGAATGGTGACATAATTACAAAACTTATATTAAAATACGGTGCTTTTAACAACGAAATCCACCAAATTTTTTTATATCAAAAAAGTTTTCAAAAGAAAAAATTTCTTTAATTACGAAATTACTAAATAGCAAGAAATAATTAATTTTAACCGTGTTTTCAAAATCTGTAATTCAACTGCCGATTAAAATAAAACGGATTGACATAACGGATTAAAGTTTACACCGCCGTAAGGGTACGATTTTTTTCTATGCTATGTAAATTTTTTTTAGATTTTTAGTTTTTGGTGGGTTTCATGTCCACTAACAGCAGAGTGAAAAATTTTTCTATATTCTGAAAAAAATAGCATGAAATGTTAACTACTCTTGCAAAAGTCGCTATAATACTTATTTATACACTTTCAAATGTCTCCTCTTCGTATGAACTTAGAAAACTGCAAGAAAACGTGGTAGTTTCGGTGCCTAGTGGAAGAGGTCGCAAAAAAGAAGCAAACCAATCTTCCTAGAGGAGAGAACGCGAAAAGCTAAAAAAAGCTAGCTATATAAAAGTTACTGTTTCAAAACTTGCAATATTAAATTTTTAAATATAAAATGTGCAAATCTACCATACTGCAATTTTATTTTTTTAATAGTATTAGGCTCTTATTTATGCAAATTTTCAGGTAATAAAAAAAGATACAGTTCGGATGTTACTTGTTGTCGTTGACGTTTTTTTTAAATTTATGGTTTACTCTTATAAAATCACATAACGCTGTTTGCAAGTGGACTACTCATATATTCATTAAAAGATAATTTGTCATCCGTCTGAAATAAAAAAATTTTAAATCAGAAGAATAAAATAGTATTGTGTTATTAATTCAAAAGTAAATAATTGTAGTTCAATGACGAAGGAGGTGGGATCTATCCCCCCAAATCCCCTCCTGGCTACGCCACTGCATCTACGCATCTTGCATCTTGATGGCTGTCGCAATTTAACACACAGCACTTCATTTTATTAGTTTTTACGCAGTCTTCAACTCCAAAATCGCTCACAAATTGCAAATTAACACAATATAAACTGATTTTTCACTTATAATTCAAATTTCTCTTTCGATGATTTGTAAACAAAGGTTTATTTACAAGTTACCACAACTGTCAAAATCGGCAAAACCAAAGTAGCGGTACCACTAACGGCGCCACCTTTGTTCGCTGCACCATGTGCTTGACCAGGGTAGCACGTTTGCTGACCTGCTTCTTGCTGAACTTCAGCTACGACTCGGGGACACCAGGCAGCTTCCTATAAGGTTGTTTGCCCTTTGCTTCGGGCTTCCTACCGGCCGTGGTGGCAGTCATCTTAACTTGTAACTTAGCACGTTGAGAAGGCGAAAAAAAGTTCGCCAAATGTTTGGAGCACATCTTAACTAACGCCACTCGATTAACAACATTTATATTAAACACAATTTCAATTAATTAATTACTTTTTTAATACATAGGTATGCTGCAACCAGGCACTGAATTTCCCAAATTCTATCTTGCTTATCAGCATAATTTTCCAAATGTGCCTGCGCTGCTACTTCGTACTAATCACTTCATTTTCCAACTGCGCCTTCTTTTTTGACTCAACATATCCTAAAAAGACATAAAATTTAAATTAAACAATAGAAATCGAAAAAATTAGCAAATAAAATACTCACTTCGTTTTGTTTTGTTGTCAAATTTCTGCACAATATAACCAGTAACCAACCTTCGGTGAATTTGGCGACTGCCTTCCTCGGGGATGAATATGCTAGGGATGAAATTATTGGGACACACGCCTTCCAAGCACGCAGGGTTGCTTTTAAAAAACAAAAAATAATTAACTCCAAATAGTTTCAAAAAGTATAGTGTAAAACGAAACTTATTGAATAATTCCACATAAAATGGTATACATAAATGACGCATTTTCTAAACGATTTAAATTAAACGCATTTGCGAATTGATAGAAAAGTACTACGGATTGTAAATTTTTGTTAACTATGAGGTGAATGAAAATTTTCAACCCGGCCTGATGGTTTG